GGAGGGTCAGAGGGAGAAGCAGACTCCCTGCCGAGCAGGGAGACCGATGCGGGACTCGATGCAGGGACTCCAGGATCATGACCTGAGCCGAAGGCAGTCGCTTAACCAACTGAGCCACCCAGGCGCCCCCTCCCTGTCCCTTTTACAGAGCATGCATCACACCGGACCTTGGGGCACCTCGGCTTGCCTCCTCTGGGCTCCTCACGCTGGGAAGGCTGCCAAGGGTGATGTCGGGACAGAGGGCTTGGAAAGAGACAGATCTGGCCTTGCCCCTGAACTCCACCCCTCCCAGGCGGGTGCTGTCGGGCACTGCCATGCTCTGCTGTGGCACCAAGGTCCGACGTGAAGACTGGGGAAGAACTCATACCAGCTCACGCCCATTAGCATGGCTGCTATTGAAACAAACAAACGCCAGAAAATACGAAGTGTTGACAAGGCTGTGGAGAAACTGGAACCCTCATGCCCTGTACGGGGGGATGTAAATTGGGCAGCCACTGTGGAAAAACAGTATGGAGCTTCCTCAAAGCATTAAAAATACAATTACCACATGCTCCAGCCACGTCATTTCTGGGTATTTCCCTGAAAGGATTGAAAGCAGGGTCTCCGAGAAATACTTGCCCACCCACAAATAGCAGCGTTATCCACAAGAGACAAAAGGATGACACCACCCAGGTGAACAAAATGCGGTCCCTCCGTGCAGGGGAATGTTATCGGCCTTAAAAGGGAAAGAAATCTCATCATGTGCTACAACCGGGATGAACTCGGGGGTCGTGAAGGCAAAGTGAAATAAATGAGTCAGAAAAAGACAAAATACCGTCTCATGCAAGGTGCCCGGAGTGGTCCAATTCAGAGACACACAGGAGACTGGTGGCTGGCAGGGGCTGAAGAGAGAGGCAGGGCGACTGTCCTCTAACAGGTTTGAGTTTGGTTAGAGTAAAAGCATCCTAGAGATGGGGTCACGCAGCAGTGTGCACGCACCTCATGCCACTGAACTTGGTACCATTTAGAATGGTGAAGAAGATACAATATATGTTACGTGTGTTCTGCCACAATTTAAAAGAAACCCCAGAGCACTGGGATTCTACCACCCTGCCCCTAAGCCACTGTTCAAGGTTTCCCAGCAGGGAGGGCCCCAGTGGGCTCCACCCCATCGGCCCCAGCTAACCAGGAAAGAACCCCAAAGAGGAAGGCCTGACACCTGCTGAGCTCAGATGAGCGTCACCTCCCTTGTGGGTAAAGGAGAGGTGACAGAGACAGAGAACGTGCCTTTCCTCCTTGGACAGTGACGGGTTGGGCAGCAGTCCCCGAGGGCACACGGTGGCAGGTGTTCACGCCCACAAAGCAATGCCAACTGGGGAAACAGATGGCCACATCCTCCTCTGTGACTTTGCAAAGAACAGTGTGTGAGGGTCTGATCACACAGGACTCAGATTCACACCCAGCAAGCATTTAACGAGCTGCTACCATGCCCCGGGCTGTTGGCAAGGTGTTTTCGTTTTAATTCAGTCATTCACGTAATAAATACTGAGCGCCTATACGGTGCCAGGCACTGATCCAGGCACTGTGAGTTTGCCAGGGCACAGAATCAACATCCATACTGCCGTGACACGTACACAGTGCTGGGGAGAGTAGCCCCACCATTGTGTCCATCTTGCAGAGGAGACCGAGGCTCAGAGCAGTTAGGGAACTTGTCCAGCGTCACACAGCTGGCAAGCGGCGGAGCCTGGCTCCGGTGTCTTACCCGCCCTGTCATACTGACGGTATCCCGTGTAAACAAGCACGTTCCAGGTTATTGCAGCCGTGGAGGCTGAGGGATATTCCGGACTGGGAACCCGGAGTGATGAGCCCTGCTGCACCCTGCCCCTCTTCACCTCCGAGGACGTGACCGAAACCTGAGAGCAGATGGGTCTGATTCCCAGAGATTTACGTCTGTTCTTCCCTTCTGTTCCTTCCTTCAGCCTCACGGGACGGCTCTCACACTTCCGTGTGGAGAACAGCCTTACTAGGAACGGCCGTAACGCTAGAACCAGCTTCAGTGGACAGCGTCAGGTGCTTTTCCCAAGTTGCTTTACGCCATGTGGGACTTTTACATCCACTGTTGCCCTGGGCACTCTGTCCCTAGAAGGTGTGCGTCCACTGGGGTCGGGCTAGGAGTGTTGAAGGTTGGCACAGGAAGTCTGGGAGTCTGGTTGTGGGGATCTGGAATATTAGACGATTCCAGGACACCAGAGAGAAGAGAGTCAGAGCCCACCAAGCTCCGGGCCCAGGGAACAGAAGTGCAGGCCCCAGAGACTTCCCCACAACCCTCACAACAGGAAATGGGGGTTTCCAGGCTGCATCCAGCAAGAAGAGGAACAGAAGGGAGGGCAGGAGCTTGTCTGGAGCTGTGAGATCTGTGAAGGCCACTCTGGTGTGGTCCAAGGTATTTCCTGCCTCCTGAGGTCTCTGGTCCTCCCCGGAGCACGATTCTCTAAGTCTCTGCCTTCCACGTTCCTACCTAGGTTATCCTAAGACTTCTAGAGGGCACCTTATCTCCTCCCAGCCCGCCCACCCACTCAATTCCAGCGACAGGGCCCTTCTTGCTAAGACTTGAGGACGTGAGCTGGTTCCCACCTCAGGGCCTTTGCCCATGCTGTCCTTGCTGCCTGGAATTTTCAGAGTGCATGGCAGCTCCTTCTTCCTCCCCAGGTCTCAGCTCAGAAGTCATCTCCTCAGAGAGGCCCTCCTTGACCACCTCATCCGAAGCAGTGCCTCCCTCTCTGTCACTCTCCACCCCTCCCTCTCTGGATTTTACTTCTTTTCATCACTCTTCACCACCTTAATGATCTTGCTCACTCATGCTCCTTTCTGGATTATGGTCTCACGCCTCCCATGACCTCCAAACTCACTAGAAGCTTCTCCACAGCAGGACCTCATTCTCCTATCCATTTCTCTATTCCTCCCTCCTACCACAGCATCAAGCACACTGCAGGTGCTCACTAAGTACTAAGTACGGGGTGACTAGGGTGACCTGTGGAATGGGTCCTAGTTGCCACAGTCCTCTGAGTCTCTCTCGGATTCCTGCGCTTTGAAATGTAGACGAGGACAGCTACTCAGCCGGGTGGCCATGAGGATTCACTAAGATGCTGTAAGCACAGCGCCCAACACCCATCAGCGCCATGCCCTCCGCAGGAAAGGGGCTCAAGGGAAAGATAAAGCCAGTTCCCTGCCCAGTTCTGGAAGGCTGGCCTTGAAAATGACTCCACGCCTCAGGCAGCCTTGCTGGCTCAAGACCGCTGCGGAGCAACATGGATCGCCTGGTGGGGAGGGGGTCCAAGCCCACCTCTGCCCCACCCAGCGGGGCCACTACAAAGAGGCCCAGGCGGCTCCGGCGGAGGGGCCTACCGCCCGGCTTCCCCGCCACTTCTCGCCCGCCGCCTGCACAAAGAACACAAAGCACGCTAAATGGACGGGCGGCCTTATGGACGGGAAAGGAGAGCTGAGCAAGGGTCTCCGGAGGGCAGGCCTTGGCCTGGAACCCCAAGCCACGTGGCCCCCGGGCTGTGGGTGTCCAGGTCCTAGCACAGCGGGAGAACTGCACGCAGGACTTACATTCCTGGTCTCCGGAGCAACCAGGGGGTGCGGTACAAACAGCACCCACAGCAACGCTCAGAAACTCGGGGGAATCATCTCCCGGTGGGTGGTTTTTGTTTGTTTGGTTGGTTTTTTTACTGAAACAGTCACGATATGAGGGGAGGAGGGCTTCGATGCCCCCCACCGTCTTCAGGTGACCACACCCCCTGGTGCTCGTGGGCCACAAGCCTGCCTCTGGAAAGAGGCAGAGAGCTGACACGGTGGAAATCCCTTTGCCCTGGGAGGCGCACGCTGAGCTCCTTCCTCCACTTCGGTTCTGGAACTGCCCACCCCGCCCCGTGAATTCTCACTTGGTACAAGGTGACCAGCACCAGTTCCTGCTCTTGACAACCCGAGACGCCCAGCTGCAGGGGGTTCCCCGTGGAGCCTGGAGTCCGGGCAGCTGCGTGTGGCCGTGCGCCTGGGTTCTGACCATTGAGAAGCTGAATCATGCTGAATTTGAAGGGGGGCCCTGAGCTGTCTCTTCTCCCTTTCCCACTCCAGAGGCTAGAATGGGGGACCTGGCATCAGAAGGGGCAAGGGCCCAGGGGATGACGATGGGGGTGAGGGTGGGTCCCAGAGTAAGATGGGGAGCAGAGCTGCCGCTCCAGCTCCCACTGTCCCCTCTGTTCTGTGTCAGGGAGAAATAAATGATCTGATTTAAGTCATAGTCTTCAGGCTCTTTGGTTGGTAGGATCTTAGGCTGTATCAGAATATACATTGCATGGGTCAAAAAGAAAAGAAGACAAGATGAAACCCTTCAGTAGGGCCTTGAGAGAAGAACAGAGCCCTGAAAGAACCAAGCCTCTTTGTCCAGCCTCTAAGAAGCGTCCCTGTTCTGGGTGTGGCAGGGAGAACGGGGTCTCGGGGGACAAGCCTCCCCCACCAGCCCTCTGCCCCTAGCCGGCCTGCTGAGGCCGAGGCCAGGCAGCTCACCTTTTTCTCATCCCCGCCTTGCAGGAGATGCAGGGTGCTCCTCGGGTCCCCCTCGCGCTGCCTCAGGGTGTTGCCGTGGGTCTGGGGCAGGCCTGAGGGCGGGGAGATGCTGCGGCCCTGTGGGTCCACCCAGGTGTAGATGTGGTTGGTGACGTAGCCCCCAGGGATGCGCCCTGCTGAGCACACAGACAGCACCAGCTTCTTCGAGCCCTTCAGAGCCTAGAGAGGGAGAGAGAGAGAGGGATACAGGGGTTAGTAGGAAGGGGGCAGTGAGGGACAACCCTCCCAGTACCCAGAACTTACTTCCCACACCGGGAGCAGGAGGCCAGTCCCTGAATCACCCCCCATTTTTTTTCTCTAGCCCTCAATTTTTGTCCTATGGAAACGAGGACATCCGTCCCACCCCTATCTTGAAGTGGATCAAATGTAAGAAATCCGATCTCTCAGCACAGCTGTGCAGAGAAGAGTTAACACAGCAGGCCTAAGACTGCATTCTCAAGAAGGCCTGCTTGGCTGGCACCTAGGAACCTGGATTCTGAGTGTTCCTCCCATTCCCTAATTGGGAAGGGTGGCTCACCGTGCCTAGGTTCCTTGTGCAAACTATGTTGGGGTCTGGAATGTGGGTCCAGGCAGAGGGGACCTATGTGACCATACCCCAATAAAAGCCCTGGCACTGATTCTCTAAGGAGCATCCCCGGTGGACAATATTTCCCAGCTCATCCTGGGCTCATCCTGCAGCAAAGGGAGACTCAGAGGCTTGCGCCTGGTTTCCTACAGACTTTGTCCCCTGCACCTGTTCCCTGTGCTCATTTTGCTGGGTATCCTTTTGCTGTCATAAATCTTAAAAAAAAAAAAAATTTTATTTGAGAGAAACAGAGAGCACGCGTGAGAGCACGAGGGATAGGGGGCAGAGGGAGAGGGAGAGGCAGGCTCCCCACCGAGCAGGGAGCTCGACGCGGGACTTGATCCCAGGACCCCGGGATCGTGACCTGAGCCGAAGGCAGATGCTCAACCGACTGAGCCGCCCAGGTGCCCCTTGCTGTCCTCAATCTGAGCCAAAGTACAACTATATGCTGAACCTGTGAGCCCTCGCAGAACCTAGGGGTGGTCTTAGTGGCCCCGACAAGAGAGTCAAGAGATGAAATGACTGATAATGATGGCCGGACGTTTATAAAGAGCCTGCCTGTGTCACTCAGCCCTGCACCTGGCATGCTTTGTCTCCTCCTGAAATCCTCATGGAATCCAATCTTGTCGGGAGAGAGGTCCATTATCCAGATGAAGAAATAGAGGGAAATCGTCTGCCTACATTAGAAGGGAGGGGTTCCTTTTCCATAGCAACTAATTTTGAGTGTAGACACCACCTTCATTCTACGTTTTCCAGTCTGGGGATGGAAGCACCTCGAGGAGAGAGGAGTCCAAACTCTCTGCCCCGGGGTGGATGCTGAGATCGGCCATACTGCTTTCCTACGGGGCACCTGGAGCTGAATGACGCCGTTTATTGAGGGACAGTCACTTAGCGCGAGGATTAATAGCAAACCCTGCAACTGGGGGGCCGGAGGCTGCTCACACGAAGTCCACGCTGCTGCTAAAATCACATTTATAAATGATTACGAAGAGTACCTAACGCCGTGGATCCGTGATACGCTCTACCTCACAGTGGGGTCAGAGGACACCCATCGAATCTTACAGTATGATCTCAGTGATGACGTTAAGATAAAAATCACACAGGAAAAACAAAACAAAACTGAGGAGCGATGTGCCAACATGCCAACAGTGCAGGATTATGGGTGATTATTATTTTGTTCTTCCTGTGTCTCAGTATTTTCCAAATGTTCCAGAATGAGGATACGTTGCTTTTGATCTCAGAAAACAAGAATATGCCTCAAAAAGGGGGAAGGGAGTACCTAGCTCTCTGCCTCCCCCAAGCTTGCCTGGATGTGCCCCAGACTTCATTCTCCTGACTCCCCAGGACTCTGGACAGACCAAAGGGGCCAAGGGAGGAGCTTTCCCCCATAGTGGGGAACCCCGGCTGCACGTCTGAGCCTCTTCCAGAGGAGGAAGGGTAAGCCGGGAGGTGCCGGGGCCCCTCAATTCCACAGCTAAATGCCAGTCCCCGGTGGAGGGATAAATGAGAATCTGGCAGCTCTCCAAAAGGCTGCTTTTACAAAAGATTTCTGAGAAGATGAGTAGGGAGAGAGTTGGTGCCCTTTTAGCAAGTCCCCAGGACTCCCCCTGATAGGACAGCTGGGAAGATAAAATCTGTGCAAAGTTTGAGGGGCAGGATGGAGAGGCTAGTGAGCAAGGAGGCCTCTGGGGGAGCAAACAGGGAAGGGGGCATCACAGGGCGGCAGCAACCTCAGCAGATACCTGTGAGGCCCCCGTGCCTTCCTGACCCTTCCTCCCCGCCCAGGGCTCCGCTCCCTCCCCCGTGAGGGCACTGCTGGCTGGAGGCGGTCCCACTGGCCGGCTTCTTCCCCGCTCCCTCCCTCGACAGACTGTGAGGCCCGAGCCCCGCCACTTACTCGACAAGGGCTGACTTGAGGGCCTACTGCGTGCCGGGCCCAGAGAGAACAAGTGGGCACATCCTCGTGGCACCTGCAGCCGGTGAGAGATGCTGCTTCCCCTGGCAGGTCCTCGGAAAAGTCTGGCGACGCCAGAATCAGGAACAGAGGAATGCAAGTGGTAAGAACAGAAATGGTGGACGGAGGCAGAACTGCATTTAAGCCGTACTTCTGTCCCTTATGAGTCATGAGTCCCGGGGCCGGCGCTTCCTGCCTGAAAGCAGCACCATGAAAGGACAATACCCACTTCTCAGTGCGGTGGGGATTCCAGGAGACCATGCGCAGGAGGTCCAGAGCCTGTGCACACAGGAGGAGCTCAGCGGGGCCGAGCCCACTCGCCGCTCTTCCAGGAGTGTCTGCACTGAGAAGGGAAACCAGATGCAGAAAAGCCTCGTCCAAGGAGCTACACAAGGAAGCAGGTGGGGGAGAGCACGCTTTGTATTCTGTAGGCTGGCCAGAGTGGAACTCTCTTGGTCAGTTCTATAAATAGGCAGGCAGCAACCTTGAGAACGGAGAGGAGGTTAGTGCCTTTGATGAGAAGACCACGGAGAGCGGGCACCGGGGAGGACCTGGGAGCGCAACGAGTCCCCCGCGTGCTGCCTGCCTCCAGTATCTTACAGAAGGGGACTGTGGGAGCCCGACATGGGAAGGGACAGAGAGGGAACGAGTATGAAAAGGACAGCCAAGGACACACAGGAGGCCAGTCCTGGGCAGGCCCCCTCCCCTGTGCACCTCGGTTTCCCCATCACAAGACTGAGGGGCCAGAATATCTGACGGCCACTCAAGCGGAGACCCTTCCAGAACCTCTGATGTTGGCGTTTTTGGTAACTGGGGGCTTCCAGTGGGGTCTTGGAGAGCAAGAACATCACCATCCAAAACTGAACGAGCCCAAGAACAAACCCGAGATTCCTGAGACAGCGCTTGCCACCCCAGAGCAGGCTCTCAGGATAGGCCTGGGTGCAGGGGCCGAGAGACGCCGCTCGAATGCCCACTGCCCTTTTCAACTAAATATGTGTCACGCACGGAAGGCAAGGAGGCGGGGGATGGTCTAAGAAGCTGGTTTCTGTCTTCTTACTGCCTTTTTGTCTCCAGTTTCCCAGACAGCCGCTTGCTTGTTGGAAAGAGTGGCTCTGAACGGAGAAGTGAATTCCTAGAGAGGGCTGGCCGGTGCCCCCAGCCCAGCACACAGAAGGCCACCCCTGGGCTCGGGCGCCAACTGCGCCTCAGGTGCACCCGGCCATTCATTTCTCAGAACCAGCAGCTTCTCTGGCCGGAGCGAGCCTCCATATAGCACGCAGCTCAGGCGGCAGAGGAACCTAGAAGGAACTCCCGCTGTGAAACAGCGGCCCAAGCACGTCCCCGTTGCGCCACTGGCTCGCTGGGTGGCCCGGGGCTATGCCCTTCTCTCGCTGGGCCTCGGTTTTGCCAACCGGCAACGAGCAGCTTGAACTCACTAACAGCGGAGGTCCTGCCCCCATAGGAAACTTCAATGTCTTCTGGTTAGTGGTTCCATCCAGAAGAAAAGGCTGTATTTACCCATGACGGTCATGAGTCATGGCAGCAAAGAGATCAGGGGCTTTGAGATACACAGGGACAGAGTCCAGGCAGCTCTCAGGGAGTGAGTCCTCGAGATTGCGCGGGCTGAGGCTGCTACCAGGTCCTTGAACCAGATCCTGAGCCTGGGGGCTCCGAGGCTCCCTGTCAGCCGGAAGGGACCAACAGCCAGAAGGACAGACGGAGCATCCGAGGTGTGGCAGGATGCACGTGGCAACTCAGCTTTATTGTCGGCAGCAGGGGACCTCCCAAGGGACCCGAGGGCCGGGGAGACAGACATTCCTCCAATGGGACTGCAGCTGTGCAGCTCTGTTCCTTGCAGCCTGTGGGTGGAAAACCACATCCAATACCCACCTTAAAGCAACGTGGATGCTCTGCTTGTGCAAGCTGGTGACTGTCACCCATGCCTGTCTCCTGCGTGGCGGCCCGCACAGCCGGTCTCCTGAACCAACTGTTTATTAGCTGTGCCACCTCACACAGGTTACTGACCCTCTCTGTTCATCTCTTTCTCTCCTGTAAAACGAAGATCATAATTCCACTCTCTCTCTGGATAGAGGGGCCCTATATGGCACAGTGCCTATCACTGGAGAATTCAATGAGCTGTGGCTTAAAAAGGGCACAATGTGAGACCCAGGGAGAGTCCACTATAGACGGAGCGGTCATCAGAGCACTACTCCCACGCTTGTTACCATGGGTTTGCTGCTAAAACCTGACCTAGGGCTCGCATGCGTTCCACGGAGTCAGATCCTTGAAATCTCGATCTGACCCAGCAGACAGCATGGTTCAGATACCATCCAGCAGCAGATGACTGTTGAGGCAGCGTGTTATGGTTACGGAAATGTAAATTATATGTGTATGTCTTCACACTTAATAACCTGCTACTTGGATTAATGCTCTCAGGAGGCAAATTTGCATCACTCAGCTCTTCAGAGCCGACTGGATTCACAGCCCAGGCGACGGGATTCTCTGCTCAGCAGAGGACAGAGAAAGCCATGGGAGATGGCCACAGCATAAAGGGGACGGGGCGTTGTGTGTTCACACGGCAGATGCACAGATGCTCCTATGTTCAAGAACACACACCAAAGCGCAAGTGTGAAGTGAACC